TCGTTGCCACGCATGGTCACCGATTTTGATGAAACTTCACCCATGCTTAGTACTTGACACCAGAAACAAATATCAAACAAAATTTCGTTGCTATGTGTCTCGGTTGCTATGGCAACAGCCGGAAAAGTTTGAAAAATCGAAATTTTCAGCCAATTTAAATCTTGACTGTGGCTTAATAAAAAATAGAAAAAGAAAACAAATCATTCTCACAAAAACATGACACCTTGATGTCACTCATACTGTAAAGAAACTGTTTAGAATATATCTCTAAGTAAGTGGTATCCAAGGGTACATTTGGAATACATTTAATATGCTAAAATGTGCTGACAAACACTCCGTATTCACTAATGGTAGGTGTTACATGCTCAAACTCAATCAACGACTTAAGAAAACCAATGAAAATTTTTGACCTTAAGTATATAAGTATAAGCAATATTATTCTATAAATAACTTTTATGGTTGCCATGGTAACACAGTGTAACCATGCAAAACCAGTAACTAAGATTGGGTTAATGCTACTGTCTTGAGGAAAAACATGAAAATTCAAGACTGGCAAATATGCATCCTTAGGACCTTGCAACACCAAAACCATAAGAAAAATTGGGTATAATTGCTACTTTGTAGTGTTACCATGGAAACAAAGTACCAGTACTTAAAAGTGAATTATTTTTCGCTGCATTAAAAATTAAATTGCCATTTAATCAAGAAACAAATTAAAGGACTCAGCTAGAATAGTACTCATCTGTTAGAACTGAAGTTAAATATCATATATTGATAAAATTTGATGAATAAAACAACACTGTTGCTATGGTTACCAAGAAGGGAAAATGTTCAATTTTGTGAACTTTATATCAATATTAAACCCTGTGTGCCAACTCCTTGCATCCACTTAGAGATTGGATGATAGTCAAAATTAAAAGTCAAGTTAGCTGTTAATAAATATCAATCATAAAAGTTTTGGGAATCTACATTTAAGGGTACGTATCCAAGGAAAGAAAATATTTTTCAGGTGTTTAAGCATATATTTTCTGCTTATTTCCATAGCAACGCTATATTTAAAGAATCTGTTCTGAATTTTTTCAAATGGGAAAACTTGAAGCACACCAACATTTTATAAAATTGATCATTAGTTGTGAGGACATGTGCTTTTTTTAAAAGATAGGATCAGATTTAAACATGCATAGTGTTACTTTGAAGGCTCTCTATGGTATAAAAACCTTGGCAACCATTGCCAACCAAAATGAAATATCATATTTTGTTCTTGGTATATGTTTCAAGGCTTTTTTTCTATTATTTGGTCACATTTCATCCTATAATTGCTTTTTATTTTTACGTGTATGACTATATAAAATTCAATGAAAATTGTTTTTTACTTTTGAATACTTTCTTACCATAGCAACGTAATAGTTGATTTACCAAACATGTTTATCATGCATTTGAGACATCTGACCTTCAACTTTTGGAGACAGTCATTGCCAATTGTTTGCTTTTCCGCAAATGTTAACTATGGGGCTCTAAACATGTTAAAAAAATGCCATTTTTCGAACTTTAAGACATGTTGCCATGGTAACTATAAAACATAGCAACCAATTTTTGCCTGATTTAGGTTTAGGGTATCAATGACTTTTATCATAGAGAGTTTGGAGAAATTCTGAGACTATGCGTGCCACTGCTCCTATATAAAAGTTCAAATCATCACAGAGAATGGCTCTTAATATTTTAAGATGAGAATTTTTTGGCTTTTACATTACACTTGTACATAGCATGTTATTCTAATGATTCAAATGCAAAAAAAACATGAACAATAATCTAACTTTCACCATTAAATATTTGTGATAGGAGTGAATCGACGAAAATCAACCAATCAGCAATTGTTTTTTGTAAATGACAAAATCTGCTTTCGGGGACATGTTTTGACTCTTTACTATAGGCAATGAAAAATGCAAGTTAACAACAATCACATACAAGTAAGTATGCTGTATTAATTATTTTATCCACAAGAACGGAAGGATCCTCAGAAGTTGAACCATACCCAGATCAACCAAAGGCTGAAGGAAGTCAATATTTGGAGGAAAGGGAAACGCAGGATATGTCAGGAAAAAATTAAACAGAAAACATTGACGAATGTTTCAGCTAGTGTGTCTACTACAGAAAACCACGATAAAAACGTACTAATAAAGTAATAAGAAACTTTTTCTTCATCCTTTTTTTCTTGGTTTTGTTCTGCTCCAAATACATAAATTGTATGTTTGTTTTAAGAATAAAAAATGTGAACAAGTTTATATATATATTCATGAAGTTTATCAGAAAAGTTGGTAACATTTTGGTATATAGAGATTTGCATGGCTTTGATCATAGTTATGTTCAGCTTATTGTTTAGTCAAAATTACGTGGCTGAAGTAATATTTTAAGATGTGACATAAAACGAGGGTATTTACGCCTAATAATCAGGTATGGTTCGAATAAAGGATAGAGACAAACAAAATAAAGTGTTTAAAAATCACCATCTCTACACATAAATTAACAGGATATCAACTAACAGTCAACTAACATCTCTTTGAAATACGTCACATCGCCTTACGCCCAAGATCTTTAAGTGGTTGCTTCGTGTATCCTAAGATCACAAAGTAAAAACAATTGTAAATTAAACATTTTTAGTGCATGAACCTGATTTTTGAGTTCTTATCACTAAATAAAACGATTTAAACAAACATATATCATTGTTCAAATTAAAGGACAAAATGAATCACCCGTAAATCTATTTTTCCAACACCACTCGTCCACTCGTATATAAATTAGTAATTTATTTATTCATTGTGATATGTATATAATTACAGATAATTTAAAACTGATTCAAACAAGCAGACCATCATATTATATCTATATGCCGTTAAATACAACTTACTAATACAATATATAAAGAAAAGAAAAAGATCAAAGTTAAGAGGTAAAAAAAGATCAAAGTTATGAGATAAGGAAAAACGTAAATGATCAAAATACATAATACAGTAAGTGTACATATTTTGGAGCATTTGAAATTTAGCCTTCGAGGAATCTCGACATAATCTTCACATATATATGATCCATACGATGTAATTGACTCTCATGCAAGAAAAAACAGTACTTGAGAATTCCAAGCCCCATTTTTTATCTGTATGTCCCCCAAAGAAACCCTTTTCCGGGTAAAATCTCCCCTTTCAGAGGCTTTTAGAATGTTACGTCTGTATATATATATATATATATATATATATATATACACGTTATTTGATTCGCTCCCTATAATATGCCTTAAGCTAGTTATAAGACAGAATTCGCCATATATTTTATTTCCTTAAATCATTGGTAATTTTAATTACCGAATACTAAAACATGATTAAAATCAGTCTTATACAGGTATTGACGTTAACGTGTACAACGTCAAACTTATTTGATTTGCGAAGTGAATAACATGAATATACCGTAAGATTGATCCCCAAGAAAATAAGGAACTTCCGAGGGATCAATATCCTAAACAATGGGCATACAGGAAAACTTACTTGTCAACTTGAAAACTTGTCGGTAACGTAATGTTATTTTCTGGTACTTATTGTCAAAATGGGTTGGACTTAAATGTTTCTAGCCCTGGATCTTATAACTAGTGGTTTCCACTGTTTTGTTTAATATAGGATAAGCCATAAAATTAAATTGACTCTATGATTTGAAATCCATAGGCTTACATCATGCTTATCAAGTTTAGATGTCTGATATAATACTAAATTTATTTAGGTCCAAGAAAAATGTCATTGTGAAATGCATCGCATCTATTGGTGAAATCTTTGTATATTCAAGCAGGTGGACCTAATGTAGTAATGAAATCAATTCCAAAAATTTAAGTCCTTTACATATTTGCCTCTTGTTTATCAATAATTGACTGCTGAACAAAGATATATGTTTTAGTCATTTAAATAAGAAGACTACATGTACGATCAGTTTAAATTTGTGTGTACTTGACTTGATAACCTTAGTCAATGTATTATGCAAATAATAAATCTTACTGAATTGATCCAAATTTTGTTATACTCCTAAGTCTTGATCAATAGCCTCATATACAACTCATTCTAGTAAGTGTATAATACACTCTTTCTACTGAAATCCCTATCCGATTTATATTTTTTCTTAAAGAATTTATTATTTCCAACTTAAGAGCCAGACCCAAATAACAATAATCCCCCACCCCCCCAAAAAAAAATTGAATGAATGGCATGTCTCTCCCCTATCTATGAGTTATGAATTTGAATGACCAAAGTTAATTTCAGTAATATTTTTAACCCTGATGGTTTTGAATTCTCATCTGATGTAAATATTCCATGAACTTTATTCTCTAACCAATAAAATAAATTTATCAAGAATAGCTTTTATGAATATCAATTATTTTTAGTAAAACTACTAGCTTAAAACAATGTAATCCACCGATGAACTCAAAATTCAGGTATGCGTAAAGCTTAAAGCAGAGAAAATTTTCAATAAACACGAGTGAAAAGCTGGAATATTTTTTCCATTATATTTTGTGAATTGTAAAGTATATCCTTCTTATTTAAAACCTTATTAAATTGACCTTGTCAGTAGTTGAAAATGAATATTAATCAATATTACATGATTCACGATCAGTTACTATTTTAGAGCTAATAACTTTAAATACTTACCAAAGCTAAAAGAAGAGAATTTCTAATTTAAGCAACTGGTTATAGCATACAGCTGATTATGTTCTTTAACTTGCATTGAGCATTAATTTGTCATTTTCCTTAATTTACCAGTCTAACCCTTTTTTACCCAAAACACAGGTAAATAAAATAATCAATTCCTTCATTTCTAATGGTTATAGCCTTAGAAGTGCAGAATGCATGAGCAAGAGGTACATCAATCAAAATCCCCATCCCTAAAATGCTGAAGCAAATATCTTTGTGTCAGATTGTATTGTCAAATTTATTGTACGACTCATTAAATAAGTAAAAATAATTAGCATGGCTCTAATGGGTAAGTGAGCGAACCTTTGATTGCCAATGAATTTGATAAAATTTATGTAATTGCCAAAGGAACCATGGGGCAATATTTCACACTTGAGAATCTCTGAATTTAATTTCAAGAGTACATCAGATTTTAAGTTTGAATAATTAAGCATTGGCTTTTCTTGGTTGATTGTGTTGTTTAATATACATGATATAGGGGGCATAAATTTAGCCAAATATGAATTAAGTTCCTATTGCATGATAATAACTTATAGCCTGATTTATTCTGAACATTACCCTTACAATATTTCAAGTTTAACTGTTAATCCTCAGATCTGGAAAAGGTATAACTTTGCTTTTGGGGTTTTTAGTTTGTTTGATTTTTGTTTTCCTATTGCAAGGTGCATTAAGATCCCCCAATTGCATCACTTGAGAATGTTCAATTGAATAAATGTTTCGAAAAATGATAAACCCTGATTATAATGTTTTGATCATATTACTTTATTATGCCCCCCCCCCCCCACCCCCGATTTCTAATTGATAATGCCCGATATATATTAATATATTTAATGCATAATTAAAAAATATTCTTCAATCTAATATATATTTGCTCGTAAACTAAAGCGTTAACAAGTTTTAACACAACTTATGCCACATGTATGCTGAAAAAATTTCAATCCTTGCCAATCTCGCATTTTTTCAAAAAAGAATGATCCATCCATGCATCTAATCATCAAATCCGATATTTGTCTATACTATTTTATGAAATTATTTAAGAAGCAATCGTGATTGAAAGCATATTTTTTGAAAATTCTGTCTGCTACAAAATTCGTATACCTTTCGTTTTTAGGATCCAGGGCAAAGAGGGGGAATTTGAGTTATCCCGAACCCGATCTAATTCATAGCTAACCCAACTCAAATAGCAGCAACAAAATTTTCCTAATAAAATAAAGGCATCTATTCTTTAAATTAATAGATGCTATTATTTTCTGGTACTTATTGTCAAAATAACTATGACGTCAACCTATATCGACTTGCAATGTCAAAACCATGGTGGATGTATATCAAAATGTTGATCAGGGTAATTCTTTAAAATATCTGAGAATTTTTCAAATATTTTTTTTTAAATATGAATAGATGTTTTACGGTGCCACCGTTGAAGAGAGTGCAGTTGAAGTTGCATACCATAAAACTCTTTCATGGCTTTCACTTTTAACTTTGATCCACCCTTTCAAACTTCAAACCGCAGTCAACGTATAACGGCATATGCAGCATACGGCATAATTCATAAGCTACTTTTTTTAATACCCAAAAATTACAAGCAAGTGGCAGCGAAAGAAATGTCAAAGTTTAGAAAATTTCATACAAAGACTTTTCGGACATACCCCCCCCCCCCCTTAAGTATTTCTTTCAAACCACTGAATCAATTGTCCCTACACTTATGACAAATATATATTAATTCTTGAACAATATCTACCTTTGTTATCTGATGATGTTTGGTATGATAGGTAAATTTAAAAGTAGTCGAGAAATGATATCACACAATTGAAAATAATCACAAAAAGCAAACTAAATTTTCCAAATTTCATCCAGCACAATCGCTTTTTGGATTTTATAAACCGTCTCCATGCGTACATCAACACCGGTCTAGATTTAATGATAAACCTGGGGTTTATGGTCATTCGTGGTTTTTTCTTGCTAAGAATTACTTTGTCACCCAAACATGCCGCTCTTGATTCATGTTAATTCCCTGTGACAGTCTTATCATTGATAATTGGGATTTATAGAAATCCTTCCTATATTTTTTGGTCTTGAATAGTCTGAAAAAGTTGGAGAAATATAGGCGTGGACAGATTATATTATCCACAAGTAGTTTTCATTACATTTTAAAAAGTTATCATGCCTCAAAGTGGACCTTTTGAACAGCAGAATAAAAGGAGGGTAAAAAAGGTGACACTCAAGAGACAAGATCTTCAAGATGTTTGTGTATCATATATAGTAAGACAACTGCTAAGACTGTCTGATATTCATTAATTTTTTATTAGTCCTCAACCAGTGAAACCTGGGGTGACTGTAGGTTTCCTCTGTCTGAGTATGTCCGTCTTCCGTCTATCTGTCTGTCCCTCTGTCAGTCTGTTCCACTTCGTTTTCCGCATTAGCTCTTTTTTTCTAAACCCATCTAGATATAGAGCTGATTTTAGTATGTGAGTGTATCTTGATGATTTACAGATCAAGTTTGCATTTTGTTCTGCTTCATTGCAATTGATTTTTGACAGATTTATACAACTTTTCAATTTCCAGGGTTTTCCACAGTTTTTTTTCACCAAAAGAAATTGAATGGCATCAGCAGTTGAACAAAGAATTAATAGAAGCAAGGGACAAACATTGTTATGATCTTCATGATCAGAGACCTTATGAATTAGACTTGTGATGTGATGACTTGAAAATGTTATATGTTTCAAGTTTACATTATTGGTTCATAGTTATAATTTCTTTTTAGATGATACATAAGAGGTATTTTAGAATAAGAAGAATTTCTCTTTACGGAACAGGTTCTGAAGACCTTGGTACATTGGTAAATCTACTTTACCGTGCATTTAATCATTTTTTAAATTGATTTTTACTGCGGTTCTACAGTGTATGTCTTTTTTATAATAAAAAAAAGACATTTGTAACTTTAATATGTTCCATACGCTGGAAAGATAATTGGTTCAGTTACATGTGCTTTGAAAATAATTAATCGAAATTCTATCTGATGGAAAGATAATGATTTGTTATAAAATTCTGAAAGAAGAGTCTGCTTTCCAACACTATATCCAAATCACTTTCAGATAATTTATCTTAATTAGCATTTATAATGTAAAAAGAAATATTGAATAAACGATTTAAACTGTTACATATAATGAACATACGACTTGCTAGATGCTTTTATTGATATTTAAATCCCAGACCTGCTGATTCATGAATAATCGATATGCATGTCCTCTATCTAGCGCCATAATTAATTAAACCTCTGTTCTAAATTCAGTCCAAAAGAATTCCAGAAAAGGAAGTAAAAAATCATCTAATTATATGACCAATAAATGTAAAATCCAAGTTTCAGTATGTCTGCATGGATTTTCTCTGGATTGTATTTGTGAGTCTTTTCTTAACGACTTTCTATCCAGTTATATATTGTAAGTAACTCGTTTGTATGTATATGTATTTAACCTTACATTTGAAAAGCAAAAACCAAATTCCAAAATTTGAGGTCTACTTGGTAATGGGAGGAATTATTCAGACTTTCTTTCACATCTTAAGCCTTTTAATACTTTACCAAATTACCATAAGTTAACAATGTACTTTTGCGAGAAGCACTGACTTTTACACTTGACAATTTACTTTGACATTTAAAACCTGATTTAGGTACGGGGGTACAGAATCGATAAAAGATAAGAAAACATTTCTAGTTGTTACCGGTTATATACTATGACAAATAATTTTTGATTTGGGATTATACTTTTTATCCTAATCAGAGCATGTTTGAGAGGTGCTGTATAGTTTTAATCAAATGCAAATTTTGTCATATACTCGGCACTCAGGGACATTGAGCAGGGAAGTTATACAGTATTATCCGAACGACCGGTCTTTACGTCCCACAGCGGGATTCCAATATGTATACATGTATAGCAACAAAAAATTGGAAGGGGGAACCTGCCGTTCAAAGACGACTCCCAATAGTAATGTTTGAAAAACTGCATTGAAAAAGTGGGGACAGTCCCTTACTGCCCCCTTTCACATTCTTTGCGACAGTTATATTTTTTTCATTGTTTTGTTAAGGAAATTTGATGCATAAATTAATGCCATCCTTTCAATCATTAAAGCAAATCCTTGTACGAATTACACCACTTTGTCGGGTGAAGTCAAGAGATCTTCTAACTACATTTTACCGACTGACTCAACTGCCATCTGTGATAATTTCCTGGAGGAGAAATGGTACAGAATAAACAGCACAGTGGGCAACGACATCGTAGAGACATGTCAAAGCATGACCCACTGTGGCACAATATACCCGTTATGGATGAATGGTAATTAAGTCAATTCATGTAATGATACAATTAATTACTTCGTAATTTACCTATCATGTCATTACTTTTTTTTTTAAAGTTGTGTCTACATAGTTATAAAAACAATGTAATTCAAATCAGAATTGAACTGGACATTTAACATCACCTTTTTACAATTAAAGTAATATTTGAATTCTCTTAGGAACGCTGCCTCTTGTGTCTGATGGTGAAGTGGATCGGATGGTATGTCAAAGTGGTATTCTTGGATGTTGTGAGGCTTCACTTACCATAAAAGTTCGTAATTGTGGGACATTTTATGTTTACTATCTCAGAAAACCGTCTGGATGTCCTGTTGCTTACTGTTTCGGTAATTATGCAATTTTATAGGAAAATAGAATGATTATCATTATTTTGGATTTACTCATATTTTGCAAATTTTAATAGAACATTGAAATCTTGTGAAGACTTGACTTCGTGATTGAAGCATGTTTAGTAGTAACGAAGAAGAAATTATAATTTTTGTGGTGGTCATTACTTCCTAGGTCTCTCCATGCCTCGAAAACAACGATAATTAGACCTCCACAAAAATTAATGATTTCACAGTATTTGAACTTGTAAGAATTTAAAGAAGCAATGAAATCATTTTATAAAACTCTTTACAGGTACACAGCCTATAAACTCAACAGAAGTAACAACTTCTAGTTTACAAACAACAGATGGAACAACTATAGAGACAACAGATGAAACAACTATACATACAATATATGCCTATACTACTGGTAACTATGAAATAAGATAAAATTCAAGTTCAGTTTATTTACGCAAATCAATTAATCGTACATGAGATTATATGTACAATATATTCTAAAACAATATACAGGATACTCTTTAAATAGCTCATCTTCTATTTGTCATTACATATTGCAAAGTCTCTCATTTTTTGGAAATTCCAAACCTTCTCCCATTCTCAACTGGGAGACGCTGATTCGCTGTATGAGTTCCTAATTTAATTAAATAAAATTATTCTAAATACTTTAGGTAGTAATTCTAAATATTTTCCAAATCCAAATTCTGTTTTGAAAATGTTATACATAAGAACTTTAGAGGAATTGCGCATAGCACTGCCATTTTTGTATGTACTGATCTTTACGACATTTTTTTGTTGTTGAATGAAATATACACAATAACAAAGAAATATATAATGATTCTAAAAATAAGAATTAAATGTTCATCTGCACTTCTAAAATTGATTCTAGCATCTTACATGCACGACCTTTAGTTATTTGAATATCTGTAAAAGTAAAATACGTTCATCATTGTCTTAGACCACTTATAAGCATTTAAAATTATTTTCCTTATTTAACAGATCTTATACCATCAACAACAAGACCGAACGAGACATCAAAGAGCATTGTAGGGGGTGAGTGTCCATAGTGATACGATGATTGTCAGTCATTTAAACACAAAATGGACAAAAGTGACACGATAAGAAGTAGATATATTCACAAAATAAGATGTTAATTAGAAGAATACTATGTAAACAAAACTGATAAATAGAAAGATTTTTTATCTCACAAGAAAATTAAAAATATGTGGTAAATATGAAAATAATGTTAACCATCGTACCTATCTAATTCTCATTAGAAAACATAATGAAGCGTTGCTTTTTAAACAGAATATCAAATTGTTTTCTATTCTTGTAAAATAATATGCATCCATCAACAAGAGGTTTTTTTTCCATTATCGCCCTTGAATTTTTTTAGTGAAACAAACTATTAATCAAATGATTTTAAACAATTCTACATCTGAAATTCTCTAACAATTAAAAAACATATACTTTTAGAAATAGATATATCAATCTACACAGTTTAAAGAACTGAGCATAAATGTTTTAAGTAAACTATTATAAGCAAATAATAAAAATATTGGCAATAGATACTAGAAAGCAATGTCTGTGCAATAGATCAGTTTTGATTGAGTAGACTATAACACAGTTCTCATAAATAAATTCTGTAAATTCTGACGAGATCATCTATTGAATTTCATGGGAAAACGTTCTCAGAAAGTTATCTCTCTTATCAGAAGGATATAACACCTTAAGTCAATTCTTTTGACCACTACCTACATTTTTAGATGTAGATTCTGAAAGCAAAGACCTAGAGACTGTCGACATAGTACTTGTTGTACTTGGTGTTGTGATCGGAGTCCTCATACTTGTCATCGTTCCACTTAAAGCGTTTCATATTTGGAGTCGTCAGTAAGTCATTGACGTCTTGACAATGTGTTTGCCATAGTTGTCACATAATTATATTGAGTCTTGATAAATGTTAGATATTTATTGTAATAAACTTAAACGCAATATCGTATCGATACACATTTACAACGGACGTATTCTATTTTTTAAATTTGATTTATTTCCATGTGAAACTTTCAAATCAGTTACTAAAATTTTTATACATTATTTTTTCACTTTCAACAATAAAACATTGATCAAATTAAATTTTGGATTTAAGGAAATACTGTCTTCTTAACTTGTTAAAAGTGTTTAAGCTAGAGATCTGAATACCGTTTCCTACTATACTTATATTCAAACGACAAAATATACACACATAGAAATATTAATGCTACTTGTATTTTTTTTCAGAAGAAAGAAGTTGAGGGTTGAACCATCAAACAATTATCAGCTAAATGATGTAAAAAACCAAGCGTCACCAGAGCCACCATCTGAAAATGATTCCTTAGCACCTAAGATTAAAATTACGGATTTGAAACAAAATCAAGCTGGTGAAAATTCCATAAAATATGAAATCAAAAAATCGGACTCGGATCAGTATAAAAATAGAGAGAAAAAAGTGTCGTTCATTAGGGATAATTCACCAAACGAATTTCCTCTCATGACACCTAGAACAAAACGCCGAATTCAGGACTAAATACACTGTTCATGAAGCTTCAACTTATGAATCAAAATACCATTTCCTTGAATGAACCCATTTATGAATATTTTATTGTTTCTTATATGTTTTCATGACATTCAAATTGTATCTACGAGACAGAATAAACCCGTCGGTTTTGAGGATCGGAGTAGTGTAAAAGGATACTTTCTATGAGGGATTAAGAGCTCAAGTTAAAAAATATGAAATGCAGGGTATGTTTACATTATTTATACTTTTCTATGCCGACGACACAGCTTTACTATCTGAAAACCCAGATGATTTTCAAAGAGCGTTGAACATTTTCTCTGATTATTGTGACCACTGGAAACTTCAAGTAAATACAGACAAGACTAAGATAGTTATCTTTTCTAGAGGAAGAATTCTCAAAAAATATTTTTGTACAGAGAAGCACCAGTTGAAATTGTGAACGAATTTAAATACTTGGATGTTATCATGTCCCTTAGTGGTTCTTTTCAAAACTTAACAAGCTTCAAAAGCAATGAATGGAGTACTTAGAAAGATAAGGTATTTCAATTTGCCAGTAGATTGTCAAGTAGATCTTTTTGACAGAGTTATAAGCCCAATGTGTTGAATGGGTGTGAAGTTTTGGGCTATGCGAAAACTTAATAAATATATCTTTGAAAAGTTACACTTAAAATTTTTGAAATTTGTTTTGCATGTTAAGTCTACTACCCCAAAAGGTATGGTGTATGGGGAAACTGGGCTATATCCTTTAATAATACTATAAAGGCACATATGAATACTTAGTGGGCTAAACTTTTAATGTCACATGAGAGTAATTGCTTTCTTTATAAACTCTTTTCTGAAAGATTTTTATGCACCCATGTTGAAATGTATAAGAGATATTTTGAATTCCTGTGGTCTGTCTTATGTTTGGATGAATCAAAATTCCATTAGTATTACATGTACATGGGTTAGATCTGTTGTAAAAATAACGCTGTTAAATCAATTTTTACAAGACTGGCATATGAGCACAGCAAATTCATCTAAATGTTTAAATTACAGGATTTTCAAAAACAATTTTGGACGTCAAACTCCCAAAAGACTTAATAATTGTATTAACAAAATTTAGAACTTGTAACCACAAACTTCCAGTCGAAGCTGGTAGATGGACTAATACTGATAGATCTTTAAGAATATGTAATTTATGTAACAAAAATACTTTGGGTGATGAATTTCATTATGTAATGGAATGTCCATATTTTTCGTCTTTACGTGTAAAACTTATTGATTCTCATTCATGAGAAAAATATATACATCACAAATGTTGACTTGCTGTTAAAACTGTCTTTGTTTGCTAAAAAGATATTGGTCTGCTTTCAGTAACTATTTTCTTATTTGACACTACTCTTCCTTACTTGACTTTTTTTTGTATATACATGTATAAATGTAAATATGTTCCTGTACCTCATATACCATTGTATGGTCTGCGAGTAAAATAAACAAACAAATGTAACGCATGTGACTGTATTTTGTGTACTTGTAGTGTGTGTCAAATCTTGAGAAAAATAGCACCGGTAAATGCACTCAAAATAGGCCGAGATTCATGCAGCAATTTGTGTTGTGAACTATTATACAATTATGCATCATTCAATTAATACATAAAAAGGTGTTACATTTGTATTTGATAAAAATTGTGTTTGCTCAAATATTATGGTAAAACCTGACTTTTTTTAGATTTACTTACTGGTGTTTACTTGAATTGAACATATTTTATTGACAAAGCCAAAAGGATAAGATACATGTTCTACAACAACTTCTCCTGATACATAAACAAAATACACGATAACTGTCTTGAAATATAAGCTATATTTGGGCTCGTGTCGAAAAAGTAAGAGGGCTCGGCAAGTCTCGCCGTCTATCACGTTTTCTTACCCTCGCCCAAAATATCGCTTATTTTTCAAAACAGTAACCATGTATTTTATATTTATTGCAGTTACGTGTATTTTTATTTGTATACTGCGCTAACCTGTGCAACTATTGCAAGTTTCTTTGGTATCTTACTAACTGATAAAATAATAAATTTTTGTCTCTACCGAGTGCTGTGACCGGATAAAGCTTTGGTTTATTAGGTTACCTTTATTAGGTCAATACAAGGGGTAGTTGCAGGATAAAACATTTTATAACATTGCCATGATAAAGTACAATAATTTTCAGTAACAAATCAATTAGTAGTGTCAAAGACTTTAGCTCTGAAGACCGGAAAGCTACAGTACTACCCATTGAAAAAAATTTATATTTATTAGATAAAATAAGGTTAAGAAAGGAATATACTGTGTTAGAATCTTATAGCACAATCATATATTTTACAATTTCCCTTAACTTAACCATTATATATTTGTGATTAAAATCTCAACAATCAATGCAAGACTTTAATTGTCGTTTTCAAAACAATGTTTTATGTTACATGTAGATAAGATAGGAATAGATAAATAAATTGGTTATAGCAATGATTATCACGTTTCAAAATACTATAATATATAAGACCGCGGAACATTAACTGGCAAGATTGAAAATATGCAGCATACAATGTACGTCATTTCCATCTGTTGCAGACAAAACAATTAATGATAGATATTCAATGAAATGGGCGGGTACAATTCGACGCGGACGGCCAAGAATACATTAGATTGAAATTCTATTTTGAAATGCATTTTCAATCCACCTCAGCTACTCTAGAAGGCATATTTTATTGAACTATTATATACACTGTACATACATGTAGGACTTGTTTTAAATGTCTATATGTATAATGATACTTAGATAACAGAATGGATGATTGATAAATTTTAGACATGTGGTCTTTCTAGAGTCATTATTAAATATACTTCAGGTCTTTATTCAGTCCAAAAGATTTCCAGAGAAGAAAGTAATAAAAATCATCGAATAATATGACCAATAAATGTAAAATCCAAGTTTCAGTATGTTTACATGGATTTTCTCTGGATTGTATTTGTGAGCCTTTACCTAGCAACTTTTTATCCATTTGTATTTAGTAAGTAACTCTTTTATATGTATTAAGCCTTAAAAAGCAAACAACAAATTTCAAAATTTGGTAATGGGAGGAATTATTCAAACTTTCTTTCACATCTTTAGCTTATAGATACTTTACCAAATAACCATAAGTTAACAATGAACTTTTGCAAGAAGCACTGACTTTTACACTTGCCAATTTACTTTGACATTTAAAACCTGATTTAGGTATGGAGGTACAGCATTGGTAAAAGATAAGAAAACATTTCAAGTTGTTATAGGTATGGTGTTAGGGGCATTACCCTGTGAAGACTATGAGTTGATGGTCGGGTGGTTGATGTTTTCTTCAAGGGGACCTTATTTGTGTTTTGAAATACAGGTCACATATCATTTTTGTTTAATGAAATTTAATCAGTTTAATCAGCTAAATATTGATATCATAAAAGAGCTTCCGTACATAGCCCCAATGAAAAAGTAAGCTGTCAAGTGTAAAAGTCAGCGCTCCTTGCAAAAGTCCAGTATGTTTGTTTGAATGTTGTTTCATGTCCCTTTCGAGAAATTCTCACTCATATGGAGACGTCACCAATTGCCTTTGGAGATCTGCTAATTTTGTCATATACTCGGCACTCAGGGACTTTGAGCAGGGAGGTTATACAGTATTATCCGAAGGACCGGTCTTGCCGTCCCACAGCGGGATTCCAATATGTATACATGTATAGCAACAAAAAATTGGAAGGAATGGCAAATCCGCCAAAAAATTTGAAATTTTAATATCTTTTATATGAGGTAAGATTTTTAATTAATTTTTGTGTGAAATGCTAATAAAATATATAAGTTGTAATATTAGAGAGAAGATTATAACTTCAAATCTGTGTCTAAGTACCTTTAAGGAAATTTGATACATAAATCAAAGCCATTCTTTCAATCATTAAAGCTAATCCTTGTACGAATTATACCACTTTGTCGGGTGAAGTCAAGAGATCTTCTAACTACATTTTACCAACTGACTCAACTGCAATATGTGACAGTTTCCTGGAGGAGACATTTTACAGAATAAATAGCACAGTGGGTAACGACATCGTACAGACATGGCAAAGTATGACCCACTGTGGCACAGTATATCCTTTATGGATGAATGGTAATTAAGTCAATTCCTGTAATGATACAATTAATTACTTTGTTATTTACCTATCATGCCATTACTTTTTTTAAAAAAAAAGTTGCGTCTACATAGTTATAAAAACCGAATATACAGTGATTCAAATCAGAAATGAACTGGACATTTAATAATTAACATCATTTATTTTCAATAAAAGTAAAACTTCGATTCTCTTAGGAACGCTGCCTCTTGTGTCTGATGGTGAAGTGGACCGGGTGGTTTGTCAAAGTGGTATTTCTGGCTGTTGTGAGACTTCACTTACCATAAAACTTCGTAATTGCGGGACATTTTATGTTTACTTTCTTAGAAAACCGTCAGGATGTCCTGTTTCTTACTGTTTCGGTAATTATGCAATTTTATAGTAAAATAGAATGATTCCATTGCTTTGGATATACTTATATTTTGCATATTCTAATAGAACAATGAAATCTTGTGAGGACTTGACTTCGTGATTGAAGAATGTTTAGTAGTAACGAATAAGAAATTATAATTTTTGTGGTTGTCATTAATTCCTAGGTCTCTCCATGCCTCGAAAACAACGATAATTAGAACCCCATAAAAATTAATTATTTCACAGTATTTACACTTATGAGAATTTAAAGAAACAAAAAATATTTTTTTATCTTTCCAGGTACACAGCCTATAAACTCAACAGATGTAACAACTTCTAGTTTACAAACAACAGATGTAACAACTTCTAGTTTACAAACAACAGATGAAACAACTATACATACAACAGATGCCTATAATACTGGTAAACATGAAATTAGATAAATAAACTATATCTAATAAATTAACAATGGAATCTTTATCATTAGACTGATTTCATCAAAATTTAATTTCATAATAAAAAAATGATTTTGAAAAAAAAAACAGAATTGATTGCCCATTTGTAGTTCTTTACAATGGATCCTAGCGTCTTACGTCCTTTAGACTTTTTAGTAAATGTAAATATAAAATACATTGAAAAAAAATCATTATTTGTCTTATTTTTCTGCCGAGATCACTTGTTAATATTTTTAACAGATTCTACACCATCGACAACAAAACCAAACGAGTCATCCAAAAGCATTTTAAATGGTAAGACAGTGTTCATAGTGATCCATTAATGATGATTGATTTAAGCAAAAAGAACAAACGTTACAAAATAAACAAGTATTTATAAATTCATAACTTCAAATATAACATGGTGGATTTGTATTTTATATTCAGAAGGTACATATAAACACTGTAACAGCATTAAAACATATGAATTGAGACGCTAAATTACAATGAAAAGACCTGATTGAAGTTAATGCTTTAAAAACGCTGAATATTTGGTTTTATAAATTATTAAGTAACAATTAAATAGTTAGTGCGTAGAAATGGTATAATACAGTATATATTCTATTTGTATTACAATTTTTTAATTACTCAAATGAAGGATATAATTATATCTGCTATTCATAAAATCAAAATGAAGTAGCTATTTATTCTGGGATTAAGTCAATTATTTGACGATATATCATTTTTAGATGTTCATTCTGATATTATAGATGTAGAGATTATCGGTATCGTACTTGGAGTTGTGTTTGGAGTCCTCCTCCCTGGCATCATTATAGTGTTATACAGTAGTCATCAGTAAGTCATTGATTTTTTGAATTCTTGACAATATGTTTGCCATATACTGTTCATACATGATCGTATCAATTCTAATTCTATGTATTTTGTAACAATTTCAACTTAATGTCGTATCAATACACAGATACAATTGACAGCGCATTTTGAGTTCTTCCCTTCTGTATTTTTTTTTAAAATTTGGTTATTTTAAAAAGTGAAACTTTCAAATCAGTTCCTAAAATGCCATGCAATGTTTTAATTTTTAGCTATTAAACATTAATCACATTTAAATCAAATAGTGTTATAATATTTTGGATTTTAAAGTATTTGAAAACAGTAAATGCAATCTCATTAACTTGTTTTAAAAATGACAACAAAAAAAAACAGACAAACAAAACAAAAAAAAAAAAAAAAAAAACGGCAAAAAGTATTTATGCTAAAGGTATGAATTTTATTTTCTACAATAGGTTTATTTAAACGACAAAATATATAATTATGAATATTAATGCTACTTGTATTTTTTTCAGAAAAAAGAAGTCGAGGGTTTGGCCATCCGACGGTTATCAGCTAAATGATGTAGAAAACCAATTGTCACTAAACACAACATCTGAGATTCAAAATCCAGATTTGGAACAAACTCCAGCATGGGAAGATTCCACTAAATCTGAAATTGTAAATCCAGATGCAGAACAACATCCGGATAGAGGGGATTCCATAACATCTGAAAATCCGGATTTGGTACAAAATAAGGATAGAGAGGAAACAGTGTTGTCCATAAAGGGTGTTTCCCCTAGCCTATTTCCTACCATAAAACCTAGTAGAAAACGAATTCGGAACTAATTACATTGTTCATGAAGCTTCAGTTTGCTTTCATTTGTAAGAAGTTATTTTTTGTTGTAATATGTAACAATCTTGAATAAAATTAAAATCTATGAATAAAAATCCCATTTCTATTAACTTAATAAATAAATAAATTCATATATGATTTTTTTTATTGTTTCTTATATGTTTTATGACATACAACTTGTATCTATAAGGTAAAATAAAACCGCTGATTTTAAGGATCGGATTAGTTTAGAAAGATACATTTTCTATGCAAAGCAGGTGACTGTCTTTTGCATATGTGTGTCAAAAAGTGGGTCAAACTCCATGGTCAAGGTCAAAAGGTCAAATTTGGTGGCGCCTAAAGAAAGGTCTTGTCACAAGGAATACACAGGTGAAATATGAAAGTCATAGGTCCACTAAATCAAAAGTTATTGGCAAGGTTAAAGTTTTTGTGATGGACTGACAGACTGACGGACAGACGAATGAGATTTAATGTCCCCTCGCTTTCGCGAAAGCGGGGTACAACAAGGTGAAGAATACTTAAATACTTATCAAAATGATATCCTGTCACAGTGTGATGAATATCAGAAGTGCGGGAAAACTCTCGATTTCCCTTCCCATAACGAAGATTGTAAAAAAATCTTCCTTGACCTAATGTAAGATAGATGAAAATAAATCACTCTGACAGAGAATAAAACTGTTCAAATTACCAAAAATATGTTGCTAAATCCATGTTTACAGTGTTTTCACCTCAGATAGCTATGACGTCTCAACCGCTCAACTATGACGTCACGAGCCTATGACTGTATAACAAAATGACAGAGGCAAAGGAAAAAATCAAAGAATTTTATTTTTAAAATGTAATAAACAGAAAATTCAATGTTTTCAAGTTGAATATGGAATTTTTTTCACTCGTGAGACAGGATTTTTGATATTTTCACTCGTGCTTCGCACTCGTGAAAATATCAAAAATCCTGTCCCACTCGTGAAATAAATTCCATATTCAACTACAAAACATTGAATATCTTCTATATATTTGGACATTGATAACCATTCCATATTTGTTTTTGATTAAAATCTCAACAAGTATTATTTAGAAAACGAAACGGGTTCTGTATCGTAGATACAAATTTGTATCTACGATACAGAACCTGTCGAGTTCTCTAAATGATTTGTGACACGATCAATCAAAAATAGCTCTGCCCACTTCGTAACTTTGCAGCATCCAAACTTCCGCTCGAGTTCTGTAGATGAGTCCCCGACGGGGAGTACGCATCCGCACTATATATATTTCAACGGAAAACGTAAAATTCGGTCAGATTAGTTTTGACAATTTAACGGGATATACGTAGTCTAGTGATAGTCAGTCTTAATGGATAAATTGGAGGATTTAACCGATTGTTGTGATCTATTATTAATAGATTGATATTTATCGTAATTTATTTCAGGGGTCTCAAAATCCCGGTTTAACTAGATTTACAGAAACAGGATTTACAGAAATATCTTCGATGGACCTTGATGTCACAGATTTTTATTTTCAATTAAGGAATTTTTTTTTAGTTTTGTGTGAGTTATTGGTGTGTGAATCACCTAGGCATATTTCATGAAGCGCGCTAGCACTTCATGAAAAATATGCCTACGTGCAAGTCTGTGTGATTAACACACCAATAATTCACACTAAACTGAAAAACATTCTTTATATTTACATTTTACATGTTTGGAAGCAACTAAAATATGCTAAATATTTGAATTTCTCGCTGACCTATATCGTTGCATTTTTACTAACGTCGCAGCGCCTTATTGTGACGTCACGTTAACGCACGTTTCTCCGTGTATATTTCTACGCGTGAGTATACACGAAAATTGTTTTCAAATCAATTTCACAGTTGGCTTACTAGAAAAACAACGAATGTAAATATATTGAATTGCTACATTAAAAGCGAAGTGAAAGACGTGTGGCTCAGCGAGATGGATTTTAAACCGGAAGTCTCTGTCGAGACTGAAGCTCTACTGGTCTGTACTTATAGCAAAGGAAGAGAAAAGTTCTTAAGCAGTTATATTGAAATCAGACCAAAACTGTAGGAGGAGTAGCATTTTGAAAAATTGTTTACAGACAGACAGACAGACGGAAGGACGACGGACGCATTGCTATCGCATAAGCTCGCCTGGTCTCTGACCAGGCCCCAGGATCAAGAAACAAACTTAGACTTCAGTCAAATTTTCGATCAACTGTAAAATGTTTATTAATTACTGTATTAATCTCAAAATTTGCAAAGAACAGCACATTTGTGAATAAGTATTGAAACTTATTTTAATTTTGATCCACTTGACTTCCACCACAATAAAGTACAATATGAAGATTTTTGCTTAAGCTTAAGATGCTTCATGATTCTGGGACCAGTAGAGCGAAAAATAAAAACACGGAACTTGAATGATTTTGCACGAGCAGAGTGGATGTTTTCCGTTATAGCGAATTTTCCGTTTCGCGTGGATCGAAATTATGTATACAGAGGATGTTTTCCGTTATTGCGATTTTTCCATTTACTTTCGATCAAAATTACGTGTAGATTCTGTGTGGAATAAGTTTGTAAAAGGTGATTGAGAAATTTTGACATTCTACATTCTCAGAAAAATACCGGGTATTTCTTAAAATTTAATAATAGGAAAACATCAGCATTTATTATGTGTACGTGCTAGTTTTGCTAAATTGAATCAGATTTATTTTTAGACCGTGTTGTATTTTAGATACAGAATAGTTTGCAAATACAATACTGTATACAAGGCTAATACAGAACGGAAAGTAGCTCCGCCCACCGTAGTCCCGTTCTGTATTGCTAATACAGAACAGTAAACTTCAAAGAAAAACACCGTTATCGTGTCACAACAAGCAATGCAAAACTTTGATTTTCCGTCTTTTATACAATATAAGAATGTTTTATGTTAAATAAGATATATGTACAGATAAATCCTTACTGGTGTTATAACAATTATAATCACGTTTCAAATATTGCAATTATTATATTCTAATGCCCTGTTCACACGGAGAGTTTAATTCGAATTAAACGTAAGTTTACTGCGAATTAGCTTCGCTTAGCGTTCACACGGAGAATTTAATGCGAATTAGTTTAATTCGAATTAGTTTACTGCGCATTAAATTACTTCGCATTAGCTCCGTGTGAACGCTAAGCGAAGCTAATTCGAATTAGATTCTGACGCATGCGTAATGGCAAAATTTAGTCAAATGCCTCTTGACGGTGGTCAGCTATAGGTACTTGTGCTATTTTTGAGTGAAAAACTAAGGAAAATTTTGTTAATCATCAAAATGTGCATACAGACACTTTGCCATTATGTCAAATGGATCTGCTTCTGCAGAAGGTGACGTGATCTGCAAATGACGTCATAATAGCCGTGCTGACGCCGGGCTGCAGAAGTAAAATTTTAATTCGCATTAGTTTACTTCGAATTAGCTGTCGTTTGAACGCAATTTAATTCGCATTATTTTAATTCGCATTAGTTTACTTCGCATTAATTTACTGCGAATTAAACTCTCCGTGTGAACAGGGCATAAGGTAGGTCCCTACCTCAATAGCTGTTCTTTAATGAAAATACATATATTAATCAATTAAAGAAAAACTGTATGCCCTCTTTTATAATGCTATTGTATTAGAAGTAGTGTAGTGTGAAATTGATTCCATTTCTAAAATTAATCTTAAACTTTACAAAATGATGTAATTTTTGTACATATTACAAAAGTTGAATCTACTGTTAATATTCATAAAGGTTACACAATTAAAACTTGTTTCATAAAAATTTAATGTATTTTAATGTAGTTTCCTGCAAATGAAGTCATTTAGCTTTTTTCCCCGAAGAAATCTTTAATTGATGGTTTTCATGTTTATGGTTGAATTATAGGGTACATAATGTTCTACAAATTGTAAGAAAAAAATTGTAAAGTACAACATCTATTATTGCTTTTAAAACATAAAGCTTTGTTATTTTAGATAGATACGGGTGTTTAACCATTAAGTTCTGCAAATATATACATAATTACGGAAGTCCAACAGTGCAAACCAAATTATTTTAATCAAGAAAGTAAATAAAGAAAACGAAATCGAATATGGAACTGACTTCAAAATAGATCTAAATATAGTACCCATTCATGATTTTTGAAGATTTTTTTTTATTTTATTCTTAATAATTTTTATCAATAATAAACATTATTTCAATTAAAATTATAGTCAAGTAATATGTAGTAATGTATAATTTATTTTGAGTTCCAGCATCATATAGCATATGTATTACTATTTAGGATAATTTAGTGAAATCATATCAACAAACATCACAGTAGACAATGTAATCTAATCTGCAAGGCACATACATGCAAGAACTATCAACTTCATACTACATGAAATTTTTAATAAATCAAATAAGGTAATAAGACAGAATAATGTATCTTTAAAAAAAAACCCTAAGAAATACACATAATAAATCATATTATACTTTCATGTAAATTACTTGAATCTGATTCGTCGAGAAACATTTGTTAAAAAAACACTATTACCCGCTGAATAATGAAGCCACGCCCTCCTGCGTAGCAACAGTCAACTTTGCTTGACGAGGGGTGTTATTACAAAAAAATAGCGACTGCGCGGAATTTATGCGCGCACGGTTCACTGTAATATGTATTTGTATAAAACATTCAGTATAATATAATAAATATTGCATGTAGTTGAGTGTAACATTGAAAATTTTCACCCCTCGAAAACCATTGTCAACCTCGGCTGCACCTCGGTTGACAATGGTGTTCTTGGGGTGAAAATTTTCAATGTTACACTCAACTACATGCAATATTTATATAATAATTCAGGGAACAAATTTCTATATGATAACAAACTTACAAGAATGATAGTCTATCAAAAGGTCCACTAGCATCTAGATGTGTTTAAAAAGTGCGTTTCTTAATTCCATTCCCGAGAAGATATTAAGCAAATAATTTTATTTTAAACAGATTTTTTCTCTTTGAAATTGATTATAAGGCAAATCAAAATGCTAAATATAGAAATCAATTTAAATTAAACTTACTTATACGTACTCTTGACCTAAGTCATTTTTCATGATGAGGTCCAGTTACTTATGACCAGGCGCTGAAATTGTTATTGGTATTTTTAAAAATCAATTTTGGTCTATTGTTTAGAGACCAGAAAATCTCATGCATGCGGTAGTGATGTTCGTCCTTTTGTCTGTCTGTCTCCCACAGTTTAAATGTGAATTCAATAGAACTTGGCATGGGCACAAAAGTAGACAAGAGAACACTATAATGTTTTGTTACATTGGTTTTTGATTTCAAAGCATAAAAAATAATTCTGAAAAAAAAACATTCAAAACGCTACTTTTTCTAAAAACTTGGTCTGATTTCAAAATAACGACATGGAATCAAAACATACACACACACACACACACACCCTCTCTCTCTCACACCCACCCTCTCTCTCTCTCTCTCTCACACACACACACACACCCTCCCTGTCACACACACACACAATAAATCTTGACAAAAAGGGAGACTGAACCAACTTACAATTGTTATAATTCTATTTATTGATGTATCTAAGTTCTCTGCTTTTGGCATGAAATGAATGAAGAATTTACCTATATTTGATCTGAAAGATGAATACAATTCTGAATCCTGTAGGTATATTAATATTAGCGTTTAAAATTATCAGTTATGCACATTATTAATAAATTAAAATGGTTTTATTCTATTTGTACCAGTATCTTAATAGAAGAACTATTTAATGAGTATTTATAAAGATTAACCATACGGTCCATACCTATGTTCTCAATTTATAGAGGATGAAAAGAAATAAACAGAAGGGGAGCACGACTCCCTAATGTAGATTTTCCAAAGGGTCTGTAAAAGTTTTGGAAATCCATGGAATTCCAATCATTTCCAAACATAACTCGAAAAGTGTGTCTGGAAGTTTTTGGAATATTTTGGAATTTGAAAGAAAAATTGGACTTAGACTTTTTATGGCTTGGAAAGTAGTGGAATTCTTTGGAAAAAATTGTAAAATGAGAAACTTAGTCATTTTCCGCGCTGGAAAACTATGGAAAATTACTTAGATTTTTTTTTAACTGTCGACCAATAGTACAATAACATCGGGATCGAAGTCGGGCTCGATGAACAATTAATTTTAACACGCCGAAATTCAAAAATATTGAATGCCATGTTGATGTTGCACAGAGTGACAGACGGAACGTTGGAACGAGAGTGTCACGAACATGGGGAACATGATATAATCCGATGATTAGCTTGGGATGGAAGAAGATAAAGGCATTTTAAAGACCGGTACGTACAATATTGTACAGTATTTTATGTGTCCTTGAATGAAGAATGCTTCTGCTACTTTTGATTAATCCGGGCACCATACATAAAATTCCCGATGGTGAAATCGTTAGGACAAGCACTATTTCTGTAATAATTATTTAACAAATCTAAACATATCATAAAGATCATGGATTTTAACCCGGATTTCCTTGTTTGGAATCGAATTGATGTAAAGAATTTTACCTGTACCTTCCTTTGTTCAAGATTACATTTACAGAGTATGATGTACATGATATTGTGTAATGCAAGTTCATTACCATTTTCAGCTCTTATCTTGCATGTTTTTATTGTTTTAATAGTTGCTGCATAAAACACAGATGATTTTCACAGCCCTTTGATAAAAGTGGATATTACATACATGTATAGATGCTTAGCCAATCAGTCACTAGGCTTGTGAATATGGTGAGAACCAGCTCAAATTATCATTCAAAACAAATAAACTAACTTTGATTTTATTAATCCATGTCTTTTAGCATAAGATTAAAAAAAAATATTGCAACTATGCCAAGTAAACAACATTTAAAGGTTTATATTCTTAACATGCTTAATTTCCATATCCTAATAATTTATAACAATGAATTCTGAAAGGTAATATAAACATGCTAACTACACAGGTAATCGGGTATGTATAATTATTTTAAATCAAATAGCTATCATCCTCTATGAAGTATACATGCATTTTACAGGAATCCGGATGCTAACAAGATTTAAGACGAGCTGTATGAAAAAATCAAAGTACTGTGAGTACTGAAAGACGGTGGCATGAATGATTTTGTTTGTTTAACACCCCTTTCGAGAATAAAATTTTTAGCAGCGAAGGATATTTTTCTGGCTAGCAATTAGTGCGACACGGGATCTCAATCTGAATTAAGGGCCGATATCCATGTCACGCAGTGGAAGTGAACAGGTTAAAGTTGAACGTGCAGGTTTCCAAAGCAAACCCGCTACCTCAAATGGCGACTAGCAGTATATAAGAAAAAATGTTTTAAGATTTTGTAAAATGATATGGAAATTATAAAAGTTTATTTCAATTTTTCACAATATATCTACCTGTATTTTAATATATAAATATATATTTTTTGTACTAAAAAGTATAAAGTGTTATGAATTGTCACTGTTTTCTAAAATTGTTACAATCCTATTACAATTTTCATTAAAAAACATAGCAAACTTCAAATAGGTATATGCATAAATCAACAATTGCAAATTATCAGATTTCATTTAATGTGTTTTGTCGCCTTACACACACGGGTGATAATGATGTCAAAATGTTAAAGCAGCGTCAAGTTTCCTCTTTGCTAAAAACAAGTTGGATAATTCCAATTTAAATTAAGGAATTTCATTGATGCATATAGTTGAGTTTCCCCTAATTCTTCAAATAACAGCCAGAAACCAATCTCGCCTACAAATAGGACCTTGTGAAGATATAACAGGTACTAAAGTTATGGACAATATTTTTACTATCATTCAACTAAAGAACTTATATATATATATATTGGCTGTCAACATTGACAGCGATAGTATTCCTGTAGCTGTTTGTTCTACCCTTCGATTTGATTAAAACGATTTCACTTAGAAAACTCCCATTTCTCTAGTACACTAAAGAGGAACAAGCTAATTCAGGTTTATGAAATTTTAAAAATCGGCTCTATGGAATTTGTAGAATTATTAAATGTATACATGTATACACACAAATAAAATACATGTATGTCAATATGCATATAAAGATTTGATTGCTTATTCTTTATTAATAAAAGATTTTTTTATATGGAATGTTTATCACACTGTAATGATGATTTTATAACCTCATAAATTTTTAATCACATGCTGAATATATCGTGTGTAAAAAAAAAAAGTATTTAAAAAAAAAAAAGGACCGACAAAATTTAACCTGTCACCTTTAAGGGACAGACATAACCACTAGACCACGGAATCGCTTTACACAAAAGTATATGCAGAACTGAAGTCACATACATGTATATATTCATGTTTTCATTTTAAAATAATTTATTGAATTTTACACAATCCATGGTGTTTGATTTATTTAGCCTTTATTAAACAGTTCTAATAGATGTAATAAGAACATGCAAAATATAAGAGACCTGTTTTATACGCAATAACTCTCCTCATGCCCCTGCGCTAAAAATAGCGACATGTAATACTAAAATACTTATAAAACAAACGGGGCGGGGCACTTTGAGAGGGGTGATAGACGTCCTAGGGAGTTTTGGTATAAAATTACATTGCATAAGCTCAAAATCTTCTTGAAATAGCGGAAATGATAATATTACACACAGACAGAATGTATAAATTTACGACTTTGAACTTTGACCTTTTGACCTCAAAATCTATAGGGGTCTTTATTAAACAGGGAGTTTTATATAAAATTTCATTGCAATATAAATGGTTTTGATATGTGTGGAAACGAAAATGTTTTAACAGACAGAATTTGCTTATTTATGACCTTGACCTTTTGACCTCAAAATCAATAGGGGTCTTCTTTAGTCCATAGAAAGTTGCTATGCTAAATTTCATTGCAAAAGCTCAAAGGGTTCTCGAGATATCGTGTAGAAACGAAAGCGTTACAGACAGACAGAAAACAAATCCATTGAATCAAATTAATATCCCCCACTTTTCAATGACAAAAAACTGAACTGCTTTCAAGTGCGTAATGTCATCGAACGCCGCCGTTTTTCGTGTGTTGGATTTACCACTCTCCCATTTCGGATGTTTGATAAATTGATAAAATAATTAAGCAAATGTCCTATAAATTTTCCAAAAGACGACACAATAGATAGTGAATAAAATAGGAAAGTGTTTTCCAAATTACTATTTAATACTTTTATTTCGAAACAATACATGTATTATTTTTAAAACCTTTTTTTTTTTTCAAATGACTACATTGAAGCATGTTAAAAAATTAATTTTTTGTCTATATTTTATCAAAAGAATTCAGATACACTAAAATATGATAAATAAATACTTGCGAAAAATTTCAGTTTGCAGCGCCTACTATTTTTAAAAAACGCTGTTTGTACACGACAACCCTCGTATTGTCAAAAAAAGATAGAAAAAAAGAATAACAAAATATTTTTCTGTCTCTATTTTCCGTCGTCTAATAAATGTAATAAAGTGTATATATGCGCATGGAGCTTTCTCCAGAATGGGAGAGGATCGTACATTTTGGCTATGGTATGAATGATGGTATTTCTCATACGTAAATATTCTAATATTTATGCAATGACCCTGCAAATCATTGCGCAATACATATTTACTGCTTTGTGAGCACACCAGAAGACTGACCTAAATTTAGCCCACTAAAATCGCATAAAATCCTAATAATAGTATTATTTCATGCACATGTATTTGAGTATCTTTTTTGTACCCCTTTAAAGGGTAAATTTACTAGAGGCACGTAACTTAGATTTCTAAATAGGAATTAAATATATGGGTAAATTGTCCGTTATAGTCTTTGTAATTATAGCTTTGACAAATTTTTATCCGTTGAGTCGTTTTTTTGTCCGAGATAATCAGACAAAGTCTTATTTCTAATTACTAGAATGGTAATAAACTTAGCAAATTTTATGGCATCATATATACCTCCAACAACCATTTTATTAACTGATTAAGATGTAGTCATCTTTTTTCTTCTTTCCTAAAATACATATGTTCGTTTTACTAATATAGCATTGTAAACAGATATAAGAAATTCAAACAAAAAGACAAAGTTTGTTAAATTTCAATAAACTATTTTTAAGTTTTATTGTAAAAAAAAATTCACAAAACAGTATTCAAGAAACAGCCGTGTGTTGTTTAGCAATTACTAGTATTTGATTTCGGAGTTAGATAGTGAAACAATCATACAATGAAATCTTCAAATATTTTTCAACAATTAATTGGTAATTTTAAAGAAACACAATGTGCGTACCAAACGGATTTTTGAACATGTGAGAAAAAACGAAAAAAAAAAATGTACAATTGACATCTGTAGTTTGCATACGAATATACTGAGTCGGTTGGTGTACGATTTTTAGTTCGACGTAACTCAATGAATATTCATGAGGCGAGAAATATTGATAACGGCAAATATCAGGAATTAGGCTTTGTATCCATCAACGAAATGTCTTTGAAATAACTTGAAAGTATTTGTTAACTGTGTACATTTTATTTTCAAACATCGAAATAAAAACTTTCATTATTTTCACTCTGCAAAAATCGCCGCTAGGGTCCCCGTGTGTTTACACAGACCAGCAGCAATAGCCTGTGGCTATATATAGCCACCGTCTAAAAATGGTAAGATTTCTTCATTATCTTCTTAATCAATAAAATCAATGTTAGTCAGGCATTGAGCTTCAGCTCTAGCCTTTTCATTTTAGCTCACCTGAGCCATTTTAAGGCCTAAGTGAGTTTTTTGATCAGTGTCACAGTCTGGTGTTTGTCTGTTGTCAATAAACTTTTCACATTTTTACATTTATCAGAATTAATCTTAATTTGAAAAAAATTGCAAGATAGTGAATTCATATTCTACAGTAAACTGATCTGCCAGGTAGAAAGAACCAATTGTTTTGTAGAGCTTTAGTTTATTATTTGTCATATATTTATATGGATATCAATAATGATACATCTTAATGGTCATCTCCTCTTTCAGCAATTGTGCAAGGAAAGTTTGAAGTGTTTGTTGGAATGATCAACATCGAAATTGCTGAGCCTTCGTTCTAAAAGTGAATCCGTTCATGACGCCAATTATCTGTCAACCCTCTATTGCAAATTTCATGGGATATCTGTGAGGAAGTGATTCTAGCAACATGTCAGAAGTTTTGGATCTTCCACAATTGTGATCTTTGGCACGTACATTGGGGAAAAATAGCAACTGTTAATTTTATGGGATCTTTGTATCAATGTAGTTATGTGGTACATATATTTTTGCATTTACTACATGTGTTTGTCACTCTAGTCACTAACTTTGTACAGTAAATTTATATGGGCCACTGGCAGTTTATTGTAAATGTATATCCTGTTGAGGTTTCAATGACCTCTCCCAATCCTTGGCCAATGTCATTTAATGAATCTTACCTCTTATTTTTTTTTTTAAAACTGCAGACTTTACTTTACTACATACATGTACCGGTATATCATAACTTGATTATCATTAATTTAACCAAGGCAATCCTCCAGTAATCATATTTTTTCTTGGATATTTTTGTTAATAACCTTTGATGTAAAATACTTTGAAGTTTCAGTGGATTACATGCATTTAAAAAGTCACTGACTTGCTTATATTGTACGTCTGAGAGGTATATGCTATTATATTTGTCTCAAAAAACATTGTAAAAGAAACAGGGATTTTTTTATTTTGCAAATATAGATTTGATCTATGAAAAACTGTTATGTTATCAAGTTTTTTTTTTGTAAGTATTTGGTACTAATACAGTTTCCATTGTATTTTCCTGGAATTCCACGGATTTCCATGGAATTCCTTAAATTTACAAATAATCTGGAATTCCACAGATTTCCTCCGCAAATTTCTTTTCTGGCATTGTTCCGCTCTTTTCCAGGCTAGATTTAAAATTCCATACCATTCCGGAAAAAGTTCCGTCCCAACACTCTCCAGAATTCTGTGTAATTCTGCGGAACAAAATTTACGTGGAATTCCACGGATCTTGCGGAAAATCTACATTGGGGACTATCATAAAATTTACGATTTTATGGGGGGGGGATTAAGATATCTGGATATTTACACCCATACCCCCCAAATTAGTAAAATTTATACGTGCACACAAAAGCCTCTTTCACATTTGTGGTTAATTTTTATGACTATATTACATTGACAGATACCTGGAAAACATTGTGACGTTGCGCACGGTGTTGGTGTCAGTTTCGGTAACATCAAAAAAGTTATTTTACGCGAAGTCCTAGAAAATTAATTTGACGTTGCTTTTTCTCTATTTTTTTTACGGAAAAAAAAATAAAAACCCAGTTATACCGCCAATTACATGTATATAGTGCAATTCATTGAAAAAACATGTAATTAAACTCTCATAAGAATTTAATGTAGATATATAATACAGCAAATAAATTATTCTGTTATCTTATTCTTTCAATATTTGTTGGATGGGTCTCGTGTAAATTAAGAGAAAATAGTTTTCATGATTTTATAAACTTGGCTTTATTTAATATTTATATGAGTTAATCTTAATTGATCCCGGGATTAAATGAAATTCTCTTCTGGTCGGGTAATATCATGGACTGTCTGACAGAGTATCAAATGTATTTTACTGATGTTTCTCCTCATATAGTCTATATAAAAAAATGATTAACATGTGTCTCTTTCAATCTGCGAGAAAAGGGCGCTTAGTTTCAGAAAAATCCAAAAGGGAAATACATACATGTATTATACGAGGCCGTACTTTGATGCAGATATTTCAGATCTAAACTTTCTCTGTCCTTTTGCGTGCATGTTGCGGGTGGAAAATATATCATTTAAATAGACACACTTTAATGTCAGGTTATTCAAATTTGAAATCGTATCCTAACATAAATTTTGGTTTGTGTGATTTTTTTCGCATGTCTTAATTGGGACTCTGAATGGTACAAGGATATATACTTATACAGCGTTCTACAGTATACATTACGCATGTTTTACTGTGATATATATAAATACAACTTTCTAAACCTAAAGTTATTCTTAAAATTAATCATTATTGGTACATTTTTCTTGTATCCATATCAGGCTCATCGGCAATAAGAGTTAGTTTATTTGGGATATCTGATTACGTTTTATGCATTGAACGTAATAACGTCAAAACGCCAAATTTTTACGTGTGTGACATTTATGTTGACATTTATATCTTATGATTTTGTCACCATTGCATTGAAAATTATTTTGGAATATACTAATAACTTTTTGAAAAGATGCACATTTCATAAAAATCTTCTAATTTTCAATATGTTAATTTTTAATGACTATATATATGATTTATATTACCACATTTATACAATTATAGTTAGATTTAGTACTTTTGGACAATGTGTGACATTTATGTTGACTTTGTAAAAAGCCTGTAAAACACATACTGCTTTATAGAATCAATTCAGTTTCCTATCTTAATAAAGTTTTGATTTTGCACATTTTGTATTAAATGTCGTTTGGTGCCAAATCAGAAAAATGAATTCTTAAAATGAAGGTAATTTCTGGAGTTAGCATTTAAATGTGACGTTTTTGCCGTCAAATTCAATTGTGACACATAGTTCATGAAGTACATATATGTGAAACAGCAGTTATTATTAAAATTTAAGACACCGCAAGTTAAATTTCTGTCTCGAGATCTTTTCCTTAATAACATGGCAGCATTTTGTAGAATTTAAATAATTTTCAACATTGATTTTTCACCCAGCATTACAAAATTTACCATTTTACGAGTCTTAAAAACTTTGTGACATTGAAACTCCAAACTTTGTGACACACCATCTTATTAAACATCCTCACAATAAATCGGCTTAATTTAAGAAATCCAACATACATATCAACCCAAAATAACAGTCTTTTATAAAATATAGTTCTCAACACACAAAAAGGATAATTGAGATGTAATTTCAAAATAAATTTAGTTATGTTCTTATTCGGTTCCACTCAAACGAACATAAATAATTTATAAAATAAATAACAACACGTATATAGGTAGGTACAGAAGCGCTCTCGTAAGTGCAGTTTAATTACACACAATAATACAAATACAACTTTACTTTTCCTCAACTCTTAAATCTACAAAACAAAAACGTATAATTAATAAAACAAACATGATACTTGTGAGGGTGGGTGGGCGGGGCAATGTCTGACTGCACTGAGAAAGAGCCTTCGAATGGCATTTAAATTTTACACACGCTAAAGCGTGCGTGCTTTAACAGAATACCTGTGGAACAGGTATTCTATAAATACTTTAACCAATCAGACCGACACTCTTCATATACACTAGATTAACACGTGTCCGATTGATACACGTGTTATGATAACTTCAATAAATACATTTATGTTCTTATTCATTTCCACTCAAACGAACATAAATAATTTATAAAATAAATAACAACACGTATATAGGTAGGTACAGAAGCGCTCTCGTAAGTGCAGTTTCGACCATAAAGAAAGAAAAGAGATAAAGATTATAAACCCAACTGTTTTATCAATACAGAACGTTTTGATTGTACATTTTCGTGTTCATAACTTTGCATTTTACGACTTCCATGCTTCATGTTTCCTAAGAAGACGATCACTGACACTGGCTGCAGCAGTATCACCACCCGACCTCAAACTATTTTCCCAACATTTTATATATAATTTTATAAAAAAAAAATATCCAAGTTGCATATTAACCGGACGAGTATCAGAATTCGTACGTGATCATATACACAAAAGGCGCCTTGCTTTTAAACATCAGTTTTTATACCCCCCGCAAACGAAGTTTGGGGGGGTATATAGGAATCACCTTGTCCGTCTGTCCGTCCGTCCGTCTGTCCGTCTGTCTGTGCATTCGTGTCCGGTCCATATCTTTCTTACAGAGGGACATTAGAATCTACTACTCCACAATAAGATTGCTCATGACCTAAGGGTGTGTCATGACCTTGACCCAAGGTCATTCGGGAAAGTTCAAGGTCACTGGAAGAAAAATTTCATAATTCGTGTCCGGTCCATATCTTTCATATGGATAAACTTGGTAGGTTCTCATTTCACACAAAGATTGCCCATGACCAAGGTCATTTGGGAAAGTTCAAGGTCACTGGAAGAAAATTTTTATAAATCATGTTTGATACATATCTTTTATAGATAAACTTGGTAGGTTCTCATTTCACACAAAGATTGCCTATGACCCAAGGGTGTGTCATGACCTTCACCCAAGGTCATTTGGGAATGTTCAAGGTCACTGGAAGAATTTTTTTTATATTCCCTGTCCGGTCCATATTTTTTTTATGGATAAACTTGGTAGGTTCTCATTTCACACAAAGATTGCCCATGACCCAAGGGTGTGTCATGACCTTGACCCAAGGTCATTCGGGGAAGTTCAAGGTCACTGGTAGAAAAATTTCATAATTTGTGTTCAGTCCATATCTTTCTTATGCATAAACTTGGTAGGTTCTCATTTCACACAAAGATTGCCCATGACCCAAGGGTGTGTCATGACCTTGACCAAAGGTCATTCGGGGAAGTTCAAGGTCACGGTAGAAAAATTTCATAATTCGTGTCCGGTCCATATCTTTCTTATGCATAAACTTGGTAGGTTCTCATTTCACACAAAGATTGCCCATGACCCAAGGGTGTGTCATGACCTTGACCCAAGGTCATTTGGGGAAGTTCAAGGTCACTGGAAGAAAAATTTCATAATTTGTGTCCAGTCCATATCTTTCTTATGGATAAACTTGGTAGGTTCTCATTTCACTGAAAGATTGCCCATGACCCAAGGGTGTGTCATGACCTTGACCCAAGGTTATTTGGGGAAGTTCAAGGTCACTGGAATAAAAATTTCATAATTTGTTTTTGATACATATCTTTATTATTGAAAAACTTACTTCTGAAAAACCAAGCGGGGGGTATTTTGTCCCGTTTGGACAGTTCTAGTTATCTTTGCAATGAATAACTTAGGATGAAATTCATAAAAAGAAATATGCGACCTTAGAAATAATATCAACAATTTTAGAAAAACGTTAAAACCTATATATTCTTATGGAAAATACAAGTACACAATTCATTACATATAATGATTCATTATTTCGACAACACTTTTTTCACTTACAGCTGATAAAATTAAAAGGTTTCTTTTGACATTGTTCTCTTCTAGATCTCTTTTATACAACCTTCTTGTACGAGCTTGTCAGAGTCGGATAATCCCGACACATTGTGGACTCAGGATACCCCATGAGTAGCTTCAAAAAAAGAAAACTTGAAAGATAAGTCAAATACATTGTGACACAGACATCACTTACAAAATTGTTGAAGGCATACCTGTACATCGTTTTGTATTTCATGCTTTTGGTTTCAGGTAGTAGTTGGGTAAGGGCTCCGCAAAATGATGGAGCCTAAGTGCTGTTAAACAAAGA